TGCTCCAAACACACTTTAAATTAAACATTAAGCATTAAGACGGTTAATGATTGGACATTGACTTGCTACTGGTTGATATGCGGTTTGGACAAAACGATTTGGCAGACAATGCGGAGATGTGGGCGCAGTGAGCAGTTTAACTTACATTACATGTGTCAAGAGGAAGGATAGCGGGGCCGAGAGAAGCCTTCCTCTTATTGCATGGAAATTGGAGGATGTCTGCAGCAGAAGGGTGCACACCCTCTGTCCTTGGCACGAGCCTGGTTCAATTTCGACCCATAAATGGTACATATATGCAATCATTTCATTGGATTCCTTTTTCTAGTTCTTTCCTAAATTGTTACTAGGATTGAATAATTAGCTCTCATACTATTCATTGGGACCTGTCCAACAAGAATTGACAAATATATCCTCAACGATACTTTAATTTCTTAAGTACCTATTTATACATATATTCAGTTTATGCTTATCTTATCATGCCGATATGAATCTTTATAGTTGCGAGTTGGTTGAAAGCAAAACATTTTCTAAGTTGTAACCAACACATTCAGCACAACAAGCCGACATCATTAATAATAATAGGCCTAATGTCACTTATTTAACTTCATAAGTACCCGTTCATACATATATTCAATTTATGCTCATCTTATCATTGTGATGTGAATCTTCACACTCATACGTGAATCCTCGCAAATAAGCTTTTGAATCATCAAGGTTCATCGCCAGTTGGATTTGCTAAACCAATAATGTTTCCAGTTGGTTGAAGGCAAAACATTTTCAAAGTTGTAACCAACACATTCAGCACAAAAAGCCGACACCACGAATAACCATAGGCCTAGCTAATGTCAAACTTGTTTGAAATTGAGCATTATTAAAACCGAAAGGCTGATGATTTGAAATGTATGCGGCCATCAGAAATGGTCGCAATCTCAGAGGCCATCTGGCTGGCGGTTGTTGGATTTTTGTGTTTTCACGTGGTTGTCCCTTAATAAAGCTGGCAGGCATTGTTTTAACAGTAAACTGATATGGCTCAATTTATGTGGGGTTTCCATTTATGGAGGCCCCAGTTGCAGACTTTAGTTTCAGAAATTTGTTGATTTTTATTTCCTGAGGTCTCTGTCTCCATGACTAATTGTCACCTCTTGATTAATTCAGTTGTTCCCACTAGTCAATGAGGCTGGCTAAAAGGAATTAACTGTAAATTTCTTGATATTTATTTGCTGAGTGCTCTTTCTACTATATTTATTAAGATAGTTAATCATTCACTTTTTTATAAGTAACAAGTAACGTATTCGAATCTCACGAAATTTCTTTGTCCTCCTCAATTAATATATATATATTAGTTCAATTTGTTCAAAAAAATAAAAAAATTTGTGTGTACTAAGAAAAATAATTAAAATAAATAATGTTTATTTATGGTAAAAAATTAATTTTAAATAAATTTAAAATATAAATAGAGAATTATTTTATTTTTTTTTTTTTTTAATTTTTTAGAGAGAAGGGATACTCCAACTCTTATGAGGATCCATGCACTCGAACACAGGTATCTTATAAAGGGAAAACCTGATCACCTAGATAGATTAAGGCACCAAGAAAGCAACCAAAAAGACCAGTTGAAGAAAGTTTTGTACACACTACACAGTTTACAACATCAAAAGCCAGAAATTCCTTTAATGGCCAAGGATTGAGCTTGCACAGTCCCAGGCATGATGAAGTCAAATCATAATAACAGAAGACATCTAAACATACTAGCCATCTCCATGAATTATGCCAGAGAAATAGCACTATTTCTACAACTTCAAATTGTCCGAATAAAAGTGAACCAAGTTGACGTCCAAATAAGCTTCCATGTTCTGCCATTATGTTTCTAGTGGACATTATATATGGTTGTCTTACGTTAGGCATGTCATAATTAAGAGTAGGCGACACGGCCATCATCTGGAAAATGGGGTTACATTTTCATAACCTGCACCAAGATACACAAAGTACTGTTTGCCCATTACAATCCAGGATTTGAACTAAAGTTTCTGCCTGGACCCTACCAACTGGGATGTGAAGACCAACAAAGCTTAAATCTTCTTTGTTGCCGCCTGGACTCTACCAACTCGTTAATTCTTCAGCTGACGGTCTCACTAATGCTTGTTGGGGTATTCTCTTCACAACCTCTGCCCTGAATCTGTCTATGCCACACTTTTCATCTTTAATGAGAAGAAAACTAACATTAGTCGCCATAAGACTCCACTTTGAACATACATGATTTATAGGATAGAATATATCCAATAAAATTAGCAGTGGTACTGGTCTACCTTTTCAAAATAAGACAAGACATTCAAATCCAGACATGTCAACTAGTTCCACTGCCAGCCAGTTATAAAAGCAGCAATATGCCTTCAGAAGTCATTCACTTCAAGAAAAACATCATCTATGCATTCAACATT